TGTTTTTAATACAAAATTTTGCTTATGGTTGAGAGCTAAGTTCCTTTAAAAGGCATACAGTCAACKTTTAATCCAATTKTCCATATTTTGGTTATAAACCTTGGATTATAGAGTACTTAGTTCTTTAAGATATATCTTAAAGAGATGAGTCAAATCAGAAGTTGTTCTTTGGAGTAGTATTTTGAGTTTCTGCAACAGAAAAGTATCATAATGACCATAATCTGTTGGAAAGGGAAATCTATATAGAACTATGCTTTTGTATCGTTGACTATAATCTTTTTTGGGACCACTAAATGATGTTGTTAAAAAAAATTAAGTATTTTGGCCGCGGCAACATTTTTTATTACCTAGATATCTACCAGATTGAGTTAAGCTGATTAAAAAAAACTAATTTTTTTTAGGTGGGTAGATTTTATACAAAGAAGCGAAGCAAATGAGTCTAGTGGTGAACGAGGGCAAGGCAAAATATCTCCCGTTATCWAACAAAAAGTCGTTGTACTCGAGACGTGGCTCCCACGTCACTGTTGACAGTCCTAGCTTCGAAGTCGTAGATAATTTCGTTTTTTTCAGAACCAGCGTTAACACCAACAAMAACCTCAGCCTTAAAATCTAACGCTGAATAACTCTTGCCAACAGGTGCTACTTTGAACTGAGTAGGGAATTGAGAAGTACAGGGCTTATCCGGAAACTAATATGACTGAGTCGATTTAAAAAATTTATTGAACCAATCGTTACAATTCTATAAAAACTTTCAAAATAGGCTCCTTCTGCGTCGAATCAGCGCTGTCAGAGCAATTTCCAAGCATTGAAGAAGTTACGGAAGGTATTCTCCGGAATAGCCTTGACAGCCGAGATGCATGCCTTCTGTCGTCTGAAAATGTTTGTCTTTCATCGGTCTATTTAGGAATGAAACAAAAAAGTCCCTGGGCCACATCGTTGCTGTAGGGCAGCTGCGGAAGCGTTGGTGGGATGCCGAACTTGGTTAGGTAGCTGTTCACAAGAAAGACGGTGTGAGCCGGGGCGTTGTCGTGRTGCAACTTCCAATCGGCTGCGTTGTCTTGTCGGACCCGATTGAGCCTTTGTTTGAGTATTTTGAGGACTTCCACGTAAAACTTGTCGTTAACGGTTTGTCCAGGAGSAATAAATTMATGKTGGACGATGCCTTTGCCAATRTGCATCGTTTTAACTTTGGATTTGYTCATTCTTCCAGTCTTCATTAGTGACCTCTTCCCGGCCAAAAAGGTCCTGGTRCCACAGAAACACAYCGCTTCTTGCTAAAGAATCATCTGAGTAAGCCTGTTTGATCATATTAAACGTCTCTGTCGCGGATTTAACGAGTTTCACACAGAATTTAATGGGACGCTTGCTTTTTGGCTTGTACGCTCCACACAGAAACACGTCGCGCGAAAATGTTTGCYCTRACTCTSYAGGTGCTCGGAGACAACTGACCAGCCGCTCGTTCGTTAGCCAGGAACGCCCTCTTCTGAATCCAGTCGGTGTGCGTACGCTCCGAAGTACAGTCGCGGCGGAAGAAAATCAGTCCTATTACTTTTCGGACAAATCCTGTAAAATCTTCTCTCGACGAACAAAAATCAAACTCTATAAGTTACTCATTATTCTCGTCCAGCTATATTGGGCAGAGCCATGGACGATGGCAACATCTGATGAGTCGACGTTACGAGTTTACGAGAGAAAGGTTCTACGGAATATTTATGGGCCTTTGCGGGCAAAGGCGAATATCGCAGTCGTTGGAACCATGAGCTGTACGAGATATACGATACCATTGACATAGTCAAGCGAAATAAGAGACTGCGGCTACGCTGCCCATATCATGTCTACCGATTGGATGAAAACACATCAGCACTGAAAGTATTTGACGCAGCACCCGCCGGGAGAAGCAGCGAAAGAGGAACAGCTCCATTGCGTTAGAAAGACCMGGTGGAAAACCTGGGATCGCTTGGAATCTTCAATTGTCGCCGCAGTGCGATATGAATAAACGACTGGCGCGCTATTGTTAATTCGGCTAACTCAGCGCAAGCGGTGTCTAGGGCAGTAAAGAAGAAAATGTTTTTCTTGTGCTCGACCACAAAAGAAYATTCTTGAGTTTTTTGTGTGAGATTGCAACGGGTTTCCTTTTGCCTCTCTTACTGATGCCTAGGTTTTATAATACAGTTATTGTAAGGTATTTTAAGTCGATTATTTAACACAACGATAAATCAAAGTTTCTAGCTATAACCCTTTCTCAGTAAAGACTACAAAAAGGCATTCCAACGGCACAAAAAGAACAACTCAGTTGATGGAATTGATGAATAGAAGAAAATATAGAAGCTGTTGCAGCCGCAGAGTGCAACAAAGTTGCCGGCATAATTATAAWTCTGCCATAAAATGATAAATATAAAACTGGCAAGCAAAGCGGCATAAAGACATACGAGACTAGTGAAGCCACTGGCGTATTGTGTTGGAAAAACCTGACTGCGTTCTTGCTTGTACAGCATTATTTTACTCATTTGCAGCTATCGAGACGCATTGTGGGTTTATGGGCGGCTTTCGCTGGCTTTTGCGGAATGCAATATTTAGTAGACACAAGTAAATCAGTTAACCACATAGATGAGACGACGTAGTGCCTGGCGATCGTAAAACCGATTTTATAGGCGAAAAATAGACAAGAGAATTTATGCGTACCGACATGCATACTTACTTCTAAATATAACAAAGTTTAGCGCTTTTTAGTAAACCAATATTACCGCAACTAATAAGTGAGAAGAAATTGCGAGATGTTGAGTATAGTCTCTTAATTAGTTCACTGATTAAAAAATAAGCTATATTTTTTCCACCGCAAGGTATTATTATAGTTGCTAATTTAAGAACGAATTTAATTCTTTTGCCAATAATTAGGTTTTTTTTCAAAAGAAGTTTTGATTTGTTTTTTAAATTCGAYAATTTTTGTGGCACATATATCTCATATAAAATTTATACAAATACCTTAGCCAGCATATGTAAACCGATTTTTTGTTTACTTTAGAAATTTATCCTATAATTATTCACAATTAAGTGAGCGATAAGCTCTGCACCTACCAATTTCGTTGCGGTCGTAAAAATTAATCGTGTAGACAAGGAAAACCGGTTGGTGCAGTCGACCCCTCTGATAATRGACACATATACTGAAGCGTGTGTTTGTAAATGTTGTAAGATGTGGCTTGGAACACCACAGATATTTGCTGAATGCGGAAGCTTTTGCAAGAAGAGTCCATCCCACTAATTAGCAACCTAAAAGCTTTGTTGCATTTTATGTTTCYAGTAAAATATTTCTCAAACCCAGATAATGTGTTGATAAAAATAAGAAATTTGTATCTGTCGAGTATTTAATATTAGTCATCGAACAAATTTTCACTCAACCAAAAAAAAAACAGCGGCAGCAATGGATAAGTAAATTGAATGAAGGACTGGGATGCGGTAAAGGTAAAATGTAAATGTTAGACCTCCGACTGTACTATATATCTAAAAGCTTCTTTTGAGWTTCAAGAAGACGTTTGAGGGGTACTCAAACTAAACTAAGGAAGATAGGTTTAAGTTCCAGTATAAATGAACATTTTATGCTCTTGAAAATTGGAAAGATCAAAGTCGGAAAAATATTCTCAGGTATTGGAAAGCTTTATTTTCAAAAAATGTTGCGAAAGAATGTAATATTCATTATATGACTAAATCTTGAAAGGATTATAGTCATATTTGGTATGATATGTATATTATTGAAATCAATTTAAATTAGCTTAGGTTAAGAGGTCGAACGAAAACCTCCTGTAGACTGTARGAACCACAACAGACCGGAGTTCTAGGTCATTGCGTTCCTTCTCGAGCAATTTCTTCCCATTCTSATTTGCTTATAGGTATGTAAACAGAGAAAAAGCAGTCACCTGTAGCCGATGCGTCGGTACGATCCATTTTTCAGTAATCTAGCTTAATATATTTGCCGGCAATATTCACGGCTATGTTTAACAAGACATTAAGTGYTATTGTTGGTGTAGTCAGTAGTGTACCGGAGATGTTGATGAGGGCCGTTCTTAGGGCACGTTGAAGCTCTTAGCAAGTATAATCATTTCGAGAGTTTACTCGATGAATATATCTTACAATATTATTGTCTTGACTAGGGTTTCGTGGAGCCAAAACAAGGCGCCCTTCGTAGCAACTCGAAAGTCGAGATCATAGACTGAAAGCGTACAAAATAAAAGTTGTGAATGAACTGAAGCCGCTCGACCTTCCCAAGCAACATCGCTTTGATCTAYGGGCTCTAGAAAAGTTCCAAGACGATCTGACGTTTTCGAAACAAATTTTGTTCATACATGGGTCCCATTTTTGGGTCAATTGGTATGTAAAAAAGCAAAATTGCTGCATTTAGGCAACCTGAAAACATTCAAGAGCTGAGATTTCATCCAGAAAAAACAACGGTTTGATGTGGTTTGTGGGCCGGTGGAATTATCGATTCATATTACCTAAAACTATTTGATTTCTGAAATTTAAGCTTGTGATCTGAGCGACAGTTGGTTTCAACTCATCGCATCAATCAACGGATTTATTGAGAGAACACTTCGGTGAGCTGATCATTTCACGTTTTGGGCYGATCGATTAGCCACCAAGAGCGTGTCATACCACACTATTAGACTTTGCGCTATGGAGACATGTAAAGTCCAAAGGATATGCGGACAATTTCGCTTCGATTCGAGCCTTAAAGCAGAAAATCAGTCGTGTCAAACGAGTCATAGAAAATTGTGCTCAACAGATGGACGAAACATTCTTCATTAAATTTAAAGTTTCTGTGTTTTTTTCTTAAAACAAGCAGAAGCTCCGAAATGGATCAGCTTTTAGCACTGAAAAAAAAAAAATGCATTACATGATAATTTTAAATTCGGTTATACTTTCGAGTGCGGATTGAATAGAAAAATGGATAATATAAATATTTTACTACAATATATTAGTATATTTTTATAATAAATACAATTAATGCTTTAATCATTATAAAGATTATGCAAAAGCGTAAAATAGGAGTACGCGTTATTAAGCAGTGATTGAAATACCTCCATTGTCATTGGGTGCATCTGACCAACGCGGATCTGTAAAAATCAGAAATTCTGTGMTACAGTTGTAAACAAACCAAAAAAATATGCTTAATAAAACTTTCATAGAGAAATATTTTTTGGGTTGTTACACTTAGTAGTGTCCCACTTTAGATACTCTTTTCATAACAGTACCTACCTGTAATGGATTTTGTGTGCGTGCAATGAATATGAGTAGAGTTYTCTTGAAATGTGGACTACAATTGTACCATTGCATTTCGTAAGCCGCATCTGAGACGAGGAGGCTCTAAGGGTAATCAATTGGAAATGAAACTTTGGTATCAACTTTATGATATGAATCTACTATACCATTTCTAAAACTCCATTGGCTTGCCAGTAATAGGTGAAGAGCACATACAGCATTGTGCCAATATACATGACAATGGAAATCTTCTCTGCCGTAGAGGTTGTCTTATGAAATGCATTAAGAAATATTTTAGTAAAAACAAATAAAAATGCTTAATAAACTACAAAGAGTTATCTTATTATAATTTTCAAAAGGTTAAGTTGCACTCACAATATTGATGCAAAAGAGCAGCGAGCAAATGACGCAACTGAAGAGAAGAAATTCGATGAGTACCATATAGGTAACCAATTCATTGAAGTCACTTACGTATCTTTGAAATAAAGATATTTAAAATATTATTTTTTTTTAAATTTTATTTAAAAAACTCCAGAAATTTAGTTTTAGTCTAAAGAAAATACTACCTACTCACCTAGCGATTCTTGCATGATAGGCGATATTCTTTCGTAAAATTCCGAAGAGCTCTTCCTCAGTTTTACTTTTCATATTATCRCATAAATTTCTGAGATTGTTTTGTAATATCTGTAATGCAGCCTTTCCGAACATGGAGAAAGTGGCGAATGAACTTACATAGGGCATATACATGCTGGACAAAGTGAACGGGAAAGATAATTGACCGATATAGATGAGTTCRTAGAGTGGAGAGCGTGTGACATCGATGCCGGGTAATGCAACGCCAAAAGGATGAACTGTGAATAATWGAATAATCGTGAATAATAATCAGTTTAAAAGGCATCATTTTCATATAAATACACAGTTTTGGTATAGATATTCTTGAGAAGAAGTTAGGATAGGTCYTTCTCCACCTGATCTCTGTTTCGGAGGCGAGGTCTTTTTCTTCCTTTGCTTCCACGGGTGTGTAAYAAATCGATAACTTTCAAAGCTAAARTGTTCTCTTCCATCTGGACAACGTGACCTAGCCACTTGGGGTCTTTCATCCGTTGCTGCTGTTTCTTTTTCATTCTGAGTGGCTTCTATGTGACGGCTACCAAGCCCGGCGCACAACCTTGTTAGGYGAGTATGGTAAGGGTTTATACACAATTTTACACATTTTTTGATTCATGACGGGAATAACGTTCCGTTGCTCCAATGTGATGGGTTTCGTCCCATAAAAATCGAACGGTAGTTTAATATTCATTTAAAACAAAATATACTGACAGAACTACTTTTGAAACTGAGATTTTTTTAGGCTAATCGAAAACCTCTGTTGAATAAAGAATGTTGGTGATTTTGTCTTAAATAAACGTCTTAGGGTCCATTTTAGGTAAATTCCAGCATGATGATTTCAGCTGATATTAGAAGAATTTCTTGCTGGAGGGTTCGCAATAATTTTTCAGTTATTAGAATATTTCATGAGAGCTTCTATTTTAATCGAAAGGGTAAGAAAGACAGACGAAGGAACGAAAATCGTGGTTGGATATTCATCTTTTATATGGCTTTAAAGCAGTTAGATTTGGGTTATTTCATTTAAAGAACAAAACTCAATATATCTGTTTTCTTCTTCTTTTAAATGGTTTTGTGCAATACTCTWGGGCAAACTAAACAGTCCGATCGTYATGAWCTYTGCGATKTCCATTATTTTATCGCTATTTTCAGCTTCCCAGAGTGCAGTGCATCTTTGGTTGGCTAATACCTGCAAAAAGATCTTTATCTTGATTTTGATTGTTGGCGKTTATCTACTTGTAGTCCCCGCTTAGGTTGTAAGGTTCATGTTGGTTGTCATTGACATCATCTAACAGTATGTCCAGGAAGCGTGCTGCTTTGATGCGGTGGAATCATAGGGAGAGGGGTGTTGGATGAGAACCATATGCTGGGTATGCAAAGAACTGCTTGGAATYATGCGGGTGCTATAGTATAGGAAGTTGCGCAAGGGTACTCGAGGCGACTAGATCTCTYTGTTTGCGTTGGGTGGTGATTTGACTCCAAGTACGCCATTTATTGAGAGGGATTCGGTTGGTTATGTTCCTTGACCAGAAGCATATTAATTTCATTAAGTAAATGTTCAACCGGAGCCATCGAGAAGCATCCTGAAATTGTATGCTGTGCAGAATTCTGAAAAGTCTGAAGCTTTCTCGTCCGCGTTTCACTACATCCAGGTGACCATTTYAGTCCAACGTAGTTTATGTTTCTTTGTCCTTTCTCCATGTGTTGTCGGCTGGCAACTTGAGGATTTTATATACGGAGTGRAAAAGGAAACGCTATCGAAGGTACTTAAACTCTTATGGTCAGCCGGAATTGTATAATCACATACTGTGATATTAAGATTTAGTTGGTRCTTCTTCGTCTAATTAGTAAATAGGGYYGATGTGAATTTARTGGGGGAGAKTGTTAAACAGTGGAAAGTGCAAAGAAGAAGCGATAATGGTCGATATCTGAGTTTACTTTCGAAGATATGACATCGATTCCAATAGGCAAGCCAAAGGCTATTCAAGCTTCCGACAGTTCAGTTTATCTGGCAGTTATGAGCTATATTTTTTATGTATATACGCTGATCATTTTTATGTTTGTACTTTTTACGATCTCCGACGTCTCTTTTCTGGTGTTGCAAACATCAGAACAAGCTTAATGTACCCAGTTCAAATTATAATAATTATTTCTAATTCATATCGAGGAAATCTATCAAAATATAATTTCTATTTGTTTTGACACTAACGAACTTTATTTTACAAGCTTAAATGGTAAGCTTAACCGTAATTTTTCATTACGATGATGGTAAAAGTAAAATTGAGAAGTGTGTGTAGCTATATTCAAGGCCGGAAAAAACTAAAATTTTTGTTGAAAAAAGTAATAAAATTAAATAACTTGATTCAYCATATGCCATAAATATTTAAATAACCAATTACTTACCTCTCTGTTGCTGAAAAAGTGGAAATGTCATTGCCACCACTAAATCGGAGACRGAAGCTGAAAAATTGAAAATTGAAATATTTCGTGCGCTTTTTGTGGCTGCGGTCAGCACGCTTTTCGCATAATCATCACCCGAATCCTGAATAATGAAAAAAAAGAAACGAAAATTAAAAATTTTGACACATTCTTCATTTAAAYTATATTTTAGGCAAACAATCAAACTGAAAAAATAAATTACGCGCCATAGCTCGCACTCACTTGTATATCATCGTATAGAGTTACCAATTCTTCCATCAACKCTTCAAATTTATCTCGATTCTTAATAATAAAGCACGTACGCAGCAAGGCATTGAAAACAGAGACCGCAAAGAAGGTATTCAATATGAAAGTGGCTAAATCACCCCATTGTTGATACAAATAAACRAACTGCATTGCATTCATTAGGCAGACGGGTGCCACCAAAGCGACACAACGCCGCCAATCGCGTGCAAAGAGCACGGAGAGGAACTGCCACAGCTTCGCATTGACTGAGAGCATCGGGTTGTCTACGACCGCGTKGACCATATTTACTTGAATTTGCGCGGTTTTCAAAGCAGAGGTGCTAACGAAGTGRAGGCAGAAATTTTAGCGGGTATCTACACACCAAAAAGTAACCACAAGTGTCGCTGGCAGGCACCACAACTCCAGCTGAGTTTGACAAAGTGTTTGCGTTCACTCACACCGCCACTYTCCAAGTGCTTGATTTCCTGATTGCTCAATAACTCAATTGGTTGATTGCTTATTTTGCGGCTTGTTATTATTTATCCAAACGCTCTGGCTACTTCCACTTCCATTCGAGGATATTGGAACACTCCTTGCAGCTGGTCACTTGATGCCACTTAAATACCTCGGAGTGAGAAATTTGCTTCAATATTTGTCGTGTTTGATGAGTATCGAATGCACTGTGAAATCTATTATTGTAATACGTGTCGTATACGTAATTGCGGGCATTAATCACTCGGTATGCAACCCTAAGTAGTCATTAAATCACATTTCAATTGACGCAGCTGGTGACAATTGCTAACTCAATTTAAAGGCAAATTGCACTCAGAATACAATTGAAGGCTTTCAATTCAAAAGGAGGTGCTATTTCTATGAAATTTCGAAGGCGTATGGCAATTGAAATTATAGTGTTTAAGATATGCAATTGACCTTGAGAAAATTATTTCCTTATTTTGAAATAGTGCAAAATGTCGCACAATTTTTAAACTGGCATAGCAGTTGAAATAACGGCGCTAAAAATATTCGTTACTATGCAATTAACGGCATCGGTACGCCGTTTAATGGAGAACAATAAAGTTTGGTGAAAATTATCAACAATTTACTGCAAATTATTTAAAGTATTTTAAAAAATCTGCTACCCAACATAAATATTTATTGAAGTGTTAAGAAGGAGGTTGACATCATATAAGGGGAAGTAGTGTCACCGTTAAAGTGGGTTTAGTTAGTGTAGATCATAAGACATAAAGTGATTATCATATCGTCCTCAGAAATCAATAGTTTTTGGGTAAATATGATATGAGTATTATTTATTGATATTGAAAACAGGAGAAAGTTTGGGAGGTTTGATTTGGAGAACTTTGGTTCAAGCGGAAGCAATTGGAATGAAATTTATGTAATTTTACGATCTATTAGTTGTGACTGTATACACATATATTGAGTAAAACCTGCTTATGGTTAGTAATACTGTTATCTCATAGTTAAAACGATATAAGAGGAATAAGGATATACTCAGCTCGAAAAACTCCATCAGATTGACCGTTAGTGAAAATTTCGCATTGTTGTAAGCTAAACAATCACGTTGTCTTTGAAATCGTTTTGTAAAATTTTATTATTGTAAGTTCATAGGTGTACTAGAATTTATTTATATAAATATCGTATCTTTCTTCGCTGATTCAGGAACCCAAATTTGTAGGATTTTGAAGATTATTGTTTATTCGCCGGTTCAAGTCAAGGTTCATTTTCTCCAGTATATTTCCCATTAAGAATACRCATATTTCAAATGGATACCCTCAAATCATTGACAATGCACTACAAAACGTTTAAAAAAGTAGTGTTATGAAAAGCCTGAAGACCTGAAAATGGTTTTATTTCGCATTGTTTGAATWATCCGGCTTAGGATTTGTAAATATGAATCGTYTTGATCTTTAATTTGTTRCTGTTGTTGTTAATGGTGTGMATATATMTATCATAATGYCAYTATTTTAGAAACTCTTGGCAAAATACTGGAAGAGTTGATTATCAGAAGCTTCTCTTGAGGCAAATTTTTCACTCCCCGCCAAAAATTATTCGCTATAGACACGAACAGGTAGTAATCACTTTGCGGTGGGTTTGGACTTTAAGATGAATGTATAAGAGTCTGCTAATCAAGCTTCTGTAGCTTCTAGCCAATCAATTTTACAGTGTTTCCCCGATAAAAAGGAAAAAATTCCAGGCGGCTTTAAATATGAATAGTGTTTATGATCCGGAAGCTGTTGCAGCCAATCATGCTCATTTTTGGTTTCGTTGATTTGGTTCCGCTAGTTAGACGCCTAAGAAGATCAGTTCGAAAATTTCGAACGAATAATGAAAATTGGCCAATCTAACTATTATGTAACCAATGTTTCGATCACTCAAGCGCAGAAATAACAATTGTTGGATACAAAGCGAAAAAGGTTGTGGTCGAATGGACAGGACTTTCTGTCATTGCTCTGTGTTCAGTGGAATTGGTGGAGAGTCATYTACTATGAGCTCCACCTTTACGGTCAAACTCTTATTTCGAATCTGTACTATTAACAATTGGATCCTTCATAATGCCTTTTTTTTAGCCAATACTTATACAATATATCTAATCATTGAATCCGTTTCCATCGAAAAACTTGCCGATTTGATCGTAACGCATTGCGTTGAAATCATTAAAACTGTTTTGAAAAAAAAAACAAAAAAGTTTGATGAAGTTGAACCCACTTTCCGACTCTATAAAATACATTTTGTGGCTAATAGATGGCGCTAATTTCGTAATCATTGAAACAGCAAAATCGAAAATTTTTGTCGAAATATATCCGTTGATGAATGAGGTCCGTAAATTAAGAAAAAAAAAGGTATTTTAAGTAATATATTTATTTAAGTAATTTGAAGTATTTATGTGATAGCTAACGATGCCCTAAGTTATGTGTAAGTCTGTATTTTAAAGGATATTTAAGACATTTTAATAAATTTCCGGAAATTCTTTCCGTCTCCAAATCGATTTCGATCCGAATTCAGTGATTAGATTAGACAATAACTGTTATTTTCTTTTTTTTCTGATGCCATGTTCCGTAACCTGTTTATAATGCGAAATATTGATTCCTAAAGCTACATATATGTTGGAAAAATAATGGATTAGACTTAATATTCAAAATCGTTGGAAGTGTGTGGAAATGACTTCATATGTTTAGAAACATATTTCATAAAATATTTTTGTAGCCTTTTTAGTCCATATGATTTTCTATTTTTATTTTTTATGTAAAATTGTGCTTGCGAAAGAGCTTCTTCAGACAAYATCAAGAACACTTGAACCCTTAAAGTCATCTTGTACATACAAATGGTATAAATATGATAATATATAAATATGTATATGCGTATGTGAAGTTAAGTTCACATTTAAGAAAGTATGTTGCATGTAATCGACAATAGAGTCATGACTACATATCTATGCACACACGTACATATAYACTTACTGCTCATAATAAAGGATGATTCATTTCGAGGTTCCCTACTTTTGTTTTTTAAAGAAAAACACAGAAACTTCAAATTTAGTGGGGAATGTTTGTTATCATTCGAAAGAACATTCTTTGGCATTTATTTTTGGAAGATTATCGCTTTGAAATGTTGGCCGCGGCTACGGTTCAGTTGGTCCATCCGTTAAGTCCAATTTTCGATGACTCGTTCGAGCATTTCGACTGGTGGCTGGCGAATGACTCGTGTGATGTTTTGCTCCAAGGCCTGGATCGAAGCGGGAATGTCCGTATAGACTTTATACTTTACATATTCCCACAGTAAAAAGTCTAACGGTGTGATATAACACGATCTTGGGCCTCAAAATACGTGATAGTGTTGCGTATAGTACACTCACTAGGGCGATAATATATTAATCATAAGATGAGTGAAGCGCACGAAACATATGCCTTACAGAACGTGAATTYTCGTAACAAAATTAAAGACCATTGAAAAAGGTAACTCTACTTRCWTCACCCTTTATATAAATGCATATAATAAATGATATAAAATCAATATAACAACTGGCAGTCAATCAGTGCAGCAGAATATTATCGAATCCATAAAGTATGTGTTCAAGAATGTACAGATGTATGTATACTTTAGACCCACATAGGGTATTGAAGTACTTAACAAAAGAATTTTCACAAAAAAAAAAAAATGCATTTGGTTGGAGTTAAAAGAATTTCGCAGACTCTGCGCAAATATTTCATGCATCAATGAGCAAAACTTATTCAAAAAGAAGTTAAGTGAATAAGGAGGATGTAGTGATGACAACAACCATGAGAAGTACATTCACKACTTTCGTTCTTAGAAAATATGCTTAACTTGTTTGACACTGACGTTGATTGGGTTGATTTGATGGAAAGCTCGAACTCTATTATTGCAGAATACAAGAAGCGGGCAGCGAAGGATAACAATGTATGCAACTACATACTCAGTCATAAGTCAGCGGAAAATATGAGAAATTCAACGCGGAATGTGTATGCTAAAGCAGTGATTTCTATTATTAAAAAAATATACTCAAAGTAAGCACTGTCGAACAACTGATAAGATTTTGAACGCATTATTAAAATGTTTATGTATTATTTTYATGGTCGGGTTTGAAAGCATTTCAAGAAGGTCTGAAATAATTTTTTGAAAAAAAAGAAAACTATGATAACATTATAAAATTTTTTTTTCATTGTTTTGTTTTCAGTTATGCGATCTCTTCGTTTACATTGGTCAAATTTAAAAACATTCTAAATTTGTGGAGTGTAAAATAAAACAATATGGTTTGTGGAAAGAGATCAATGTTGTTAAAATACAAAGCTTTATATTGAAAGTTCACAAAAGGTTTAAAACTTAATGGATAAGTCTTCTATATATAGGACACCTAAATGATGAAACTTAATTATCCTTGGATAATGTTTATGTAAAAAAATTGCCGATTATATCGAGTTATAGCTTTATATGGTGTAAGGTACTTAACAAATAGCTTGAAGATAAAGAGAGGACAGTTTAATCTAGACGCAAATAATATATCAATTGCCTAATGTTGATAAATATTCCCTAAATGTCCTATACATAGTTTTTTTTTTTTAAGAAGAAGATACGCACCCACCTCTGTGCGGCACAAAAATGCACGTCAACAAGCACACGGAAAGCTCGACTTGCACTCCTGATCGCATGAACACACCGATCAGCAACTCGGCATAAGGGAACTGTGGGACGGCATTTCATTTGCAAAAAAAAAGGTAAATAACAGGTGGTGCGGTGAGGAGTGCCGTGTCGCAATGGAGGGAAAACAG